TACCTACTTACCGAATTGATGTTTGATGCCAGGGCAGTGACTGCAGGGGCAGCATCCATGCTGGTTGGAAAGGGGTCACTGGACACTAAGATAAGGGTTTGAGACTCAGTGAGCTCATCCCCCTGCTGGGGAGTGATTATCATTTCACCTGTAACTATGCTTAGAGCTCATGGTATCTGCATAGGGATTTGAGATTATGTCTGAAAAACAACTGTGATTTGTGCACAACACTGACAGCAGTTAATGTTTGTTAGTAAAATTATCCAAGAGATGAAGTGAACAGAAATAACTACAGGAAAGTTTTATTTTGGGTGTCTAAAAAATGATACGGTGTCATGGGAAGGCCAGCAGATGACACAGGTCTAAGGAGCAAGAGAATGAAGCAGAGAATGCATGCTGATTCCTGCCCATCCTGAGTGGCTTTATTCCTTTCCTCAAAATTATTTTTTGACTCCCAAGAAACCTACAATAACAGCCTTGGGGGGTGTGTGTGTGCGTGAGAGAGAGAGAGAGAGGGAGAGAGAAAGACAGGAAAAAGTTGCCAGAGGGTAAAAACCACTCATGTTTTGCTCTAGCACACACGTGGTAAGCAAGTCCTCTGTGCCAGAGACTTTGTAAGTGAACGGGTTACATCAGGAAACCAACCAGGTAAAGAAGCTTGTCCTCATGTAACTTATTTTCTAGTTGAGGATGACAAACAGAAACATAGATAATTTTGTTACTCTGCTAAAAAGGAATGCCACTGTGGACAACGAGCATAGTGAGTGGTGTGTGCTGTGGTAGGATGTGTGACAATCGTAGCTAGAATAGTAAGGAGAGAGGTCTCATGAATTAGAGGATATTTGAGTAAAGAACTGAAGAAGGGGAGGGGTTGAGCTGTGTGTACATCTTGTTTTCAGGCAGAAGAAATAGCCAGTATAGAGGCCCAGAGGCCCAAGAGCCTGCCTGGAATGCCCAGGCAAGAGCAAGCAGCGTGATGCATCTAAGGGCAGTTAGAAGGAGAGGGTTGAGAGACAGAGTCAGGGGGCAAGAACTGGTAAATCTTGCAGGCACCATGGGCTCCTGTAACAGTTAGGGCTTAGTTTTATAGGCAGTCAGAGCCCAGAGCCCAGAAGTGGTACGCAGCTGTTCTGTTGAGAATACACCATGGAAGGGAAGATTCTGGGTGCGAGATGACTTGGAGGGAGCAGGGTTGAAGATAAAAAGTGGTCAAAACCCTGGTAAATTCTGAAAGTGAAGCCAACAGGAATTCTATGGGATAGATGTGAAGTGTGAAGAGAAACAGAGGATTCAAGGATGAGTCTGGGATTTTTTTGCCTGGGCAAGTGGAATCTGAGTTGCTATCAAAAGGGATAGGGAAGGCTGGAGTTGGCATAGGTTTTTAGGGAAGATCAGGAGTTTGGTTATGAACCTGTTCAGTCTCAGGTGCCTACTAGACATCTAAGGATAATGCCAACTAGGGAATTAGCTATCAGTCCGAAATTTGGGAGTAGAAGCCAGGCTGAATACATACTTTGAGAACTGTTAGATCATAGATGGTATATCAGTCATAAGACAGGGTGAGATTCCACAGAAATGAAATCAGAGTTCAGGAGATGAAAACAGGGAGCACAGAAAATACCCTTGAGATGCTGTTGCACAAAAGTAAGAGACAGGGAAGAGGCAGGGAGCATTTTCGGCCAAGGAGTGAGTGGGACGCTATTACTTATGGAGAAGACAGTATTTACAATCCAGTTTGTAAAAGCAAAAATAGATCATCGATGGCTCAAATCAACATGAGATTTGACCAAGCACAGGGTCAGATTCGGATTGCTCATTTCCTCCAGGAAGTTTTATCCCTTGTGCCCTTGCTATGCAAAGCTATTTTGGTGCAGGTATTGCATTACCATGTTTTCACAGCAAATTGAATCACCTGAGAGTGATCATCTCTATCCCAAATTATGACATGGTTTTGAAAGAAGGATTTTTCTTTTTTGATATATTACATCTATATTCTCATAAATATTTTCCTGGCATAGATTATTCCATCCTTTACTTTTATGATTCCCTTGTTCTCATGCTTAATAGTATCTTTCAAAACTCATAGGACAGCATTTGTTTGATTGGACTATGACTACATGGAATAATACTAATGTGGCTCTGGTTTTCGGTTCTCGTTTCACAGGATGCTATCTCTATGTAGGAGACTTGACCTGTAGAAGATTTAAGTTGATCAATAATAAATTAGTTACATTCTTAATAGCTCAACATGTATACACCATAAAGTATAGATAGATGTAGATCAAGGAGGCAAAGTAATTGTAAAATTAGAACAAAATATGGAAAACACTTTTGCTGGTAATATTTCATGCTTCAGCTGTCTCTTTAAATCCATACTGATCACTCACTGTTTATTACATAATGCATAGTCTGTGAGTTTAATCGTCTATCAGATTATATGATATTGGGCAAGTGCTTGCTGTCCAATTAAACTTGATTGTCTTGACATAAGAAGGCCATTGGTCACAGGGGTAGACTGTTCTGTGAGAGTTGAGTCCGCAGGCCTGGAACAAGCCTGAGCTGTTTTGCTGAAGTACTTGCACAACAGTGACTCATGGGCAAAGCCACACACTGATTATTGGTATTGCTTTGTACCTATACATTCAAGATGATTGTTGGGCAGGTTGTACAAGTTCATTGATACTTATTACACTGATGACTTGCACTTGGTCCCAGTGAGTGCCCCAGGGACTCTGCTGTTGAGGCTGACTGCACAGAGGGAACACGTCCCCATGACCAAAGAGGATAAACTTCATTTGGGTCCCTGGTTCTGAGGTGTTGTCTACATGTTGCTGGTTTCTAACCTGAGAGAGAAATTTGTCGTGCAGAGGAACTTACAGAGGCAGGACAACTGGTGCTACTGGGCTTCTCCAGCCTTTACTATGAGACAGCCTTCACTTGGAATGGATATTCTTTTTTTTTAAAGGAAGATTAGCCCTGAGTTAACTACTGCCAATCCTTCTCTTTTTGCCGAGGAAGACTGGCCCTGAGATTTCTGTGACTCAATATTCTGATCTACTGATCTTGACGAGATATTTCAAAACGTTGTGCAGCCACACCGTCAGCTTTTTCTCTAGAAGATGCTTTCTTGACCATGAATCTCTTAATTTCAATGTCTTTTGAATTAAGATGGGCTGAGAATTTCCCAAATCATCAAGTCTTGGGTCTTTTCTGTTTAACAGTTTTCCCTATATTCATCTCTTCTCTGTCACACTTTATAATAATCAGTAAGAAAAGACAAGCCCATGCTTTCAACACTTTTGATTAGAAAATCCCTAAGCTAAATGTCCATAAGAAGACTAGTACATGAATATTTGCAGCAGCTTTATTTTTAATATTTAGAATCTAGAAAAAAAAAAACCCCAAATGTCAATTAAGATAAAGTGATAAATTGTGGTATATCCATACAGAATATTACTCTGCAATAAAGAGAATGAGCTATTCATACACACAACATGTATGATTCTTAAAATAATTATGTTACATAGAAGACAGGAAACAAAAATAAACTTTTAAGGTTCCATTTAAATTCTAGAAAAGGCAAATTTATCTATATTCAAAGTAAATCGATGGTTGCCTAGGGATTGGTGGGGAACTATTAGGAAGGGCTTTGAGAGAGGGATTATGAAGGCGGTAACTTTGGGGGTGACGGATATGTCCAACATCATGGCTAGGGTGATGATTTCATATATATATATATATATATATATATTTATATACATATATTAAGGCTTACCAAATTGTACACTTTAAGGATGTGCAGTATGTTGCATGTTGACTACTCTGAAACTATAAAAGACGATTCCACCTAAAAGTCTGAGTTTCCTACTGCCATTGGAAAACCAGAAGCTTGAGCATCAATATAGTCATGTACCACGTAACAATATTTCTGTCAACAACAGACCTCATATACTGCAGTGGTCCAATAAGATCAATACCATATAGCCTAGGTGTGTAGTACACCATCTAGGTTTAAGTACACTCTATGATGTTTACACAATGACAAAATTGCTTAATGACACATTTCTCAGAAAGTTTCCTCATTGTTAAGCAATGACTATAGTGACTACCCTCTCACTCCAAAAGCCTTGTGAAGAGAACCTCTTCCTCAGTAGCAAGAAAAACTGGCAAACAATGAAAGCTGTTTCCAAGTAAGTCACCAGGAATTCTGGGTGGTCACAAAATCTATACCCTTGGACCAGAGTCTCTCTCTACTCTCAGTCCTAGAATCCTTGCCCACACAGCAAAGACATCAGGTAAAGAGCACAGGGAGGCACAGGAATCGAGGAAAACTTTACATTTCTTGCTCTGTCACTGACCTTAGTCCTAGGAGTGACAGCCCTGGAGATCCTGAGAATTTCCATACATCCTAATCTCATACAACCACAGTGACCAGAGTGTTTGTGGATGTGTTTTTTACAATGTACACATCCAATCTTGTTTGCTGCACTCTCTCCAATCCCAATTATACATACCAAGTGTTTCTGTATCAATTTTGTTTCCTTCCTGGACATGGCAGGGCTTATAGCCAGTGGCTTCTGTACCAGATTCGGGCCTTCAGGGCATATGGCACGTGGCAGGTCCCGAGGAATAGCTTCCCCTCAACACTGCTGGGGAATATGAAACATAAGCTGGAAACAAGACACTCAATGTGTGCTACTCCCAAATACACTCTAGGTTATTACAACAGCACCCTCCTCAATGTGAGATCTGGGCCCTGTGATAACTGAAATTTAGACAAAATCAGGCTCACAAAGCCCTGAATTTTCACCTAAGGAGCTTTTGTCAGCAATGGAAATTAACAACAAAACTGGACTGAGTTTTCTGTCAACATGCTGTTCCATTTGAGGGACACAAAGTCGGAGGCCCCCCACCCCCACCCCCGCCAGTGTTTACCTCTTCAATTTGGCAGTGCCTAGTTGTTTTCAAACCACTCCAAACGGTAAAAAGAACTTCCAAGATTAAAAGAGGCTTAAATGATGTCTTTATTATCGCACAAATTAGAGTAACGAGGCAAGTAGTTCTCCAGATTCGGTGACTTGAAGGCTGGAAAAATCTGTCACAAGTATCATACAAGACCAAAAATGTCCATGAAGAAAGTAAACCTTTTCTGCTATCAGAACATAGCTCAGGCCCTCTTGGCTAAAAATGGGTCATGTCCACACCTTTCCCAGTCAGTGGGGATGCAATGAGGACCATATTTAACTCAGATTTCTTATAATTTCCTCCAGGGACAGGAAAGAGAAACAAAGTTCTGCTTTTCCTGAGGATATTAAGGTAACTTAGATGGTAGAGTTGAGATGGTTTTAGCCACAGGCATTGACACTGACAAATCTGGCAAGGAACCTGAGCAGGTCTCAAAGTGCAACACAGGCCTTGAAAGCTTCCCTTGTACCTGGCATTCATAAGGTATCTCTCTAGTGTCAAAGTTCAGATATATGAACATCAACATCTGATTGACATCTCCCTCTCAAAGGGTAATCACAGTGCTCCTCTACCTATGAGTCCTCTACCTATGAGTCCTGTTGTGTTGAAAGCAGCCCTAAAGCCTTCCTGCAGTGTGAACTTTCTGGTGCCGAATAAGGTGGGAGCTTAGGCTATAGGCTTTCCCACATTCATTGCACTCATACGGCCTTTCTCCAGTGTGAACTTTTTGGTGCCGAACAAGGTGGGAGGTTCTGATGAAATCCTTCCCACACTTGCTGCACACAAAAGGCCTTTCCCCTGTGTGAACTCTTTGGTGTGCAATAAAGTCAGAGCTTCGACTAAAGAATTTCCCACATTCCACACACTCAAAAGGTCTCACCTCAGTGTGAATTCTCTGGTGTTTAATAAGGGTGTATTTGTGACCAAAGGATTTCCCACAATCACTGCAAACATAAGGATTTTCTCCAGTGTGGATACTCTCATGCTGAACAAGTGTGGATTTGTGTCTGAAGACTTTCCCACAATCGTTGCACTTATAAGGCCTTGCTCCATTGTGAACTCTCTGGTGTACGATTAGGTTGGAGTGATGGCTAAAGTATTTTCCACATTCGCCACACTTATAAGGCATTTCTCCAGTGTGAATTCTTTTATGCTGAGTGAGGTTGTCTTTACGACTAAAGGCTTTCCCACACTCGCTGCACTCATAAGGCCTTTCTCCAGTGTGGATTCTCTGGTGCTGGACAAGTGTGGCTTTTCGACTGAAGGCTTTCCCACATTCACTGCACTCATAAGGCTTTTCTCCAGTATGGATTCTCTGGTGCTGGACAAGTGTGTCTTTGCGGTTGAAGGCCTTCCCACATTCACTGCACTTATAATGCATCTGTCCAATGTGAAAGGCCTCTCCACTCTCAGTGCTCCTTTTCTTTCTCTTGCTGTGGGTAGCCTTTTGCTGGTGACTACCCAAAGTGGCCTGGAAGTTCTTCTGCTCCTCCTCACATGTAAAGGGCTTCTCTGACAAGTGAGGGTCCTCACAAACTCTACAGTTCTTCACACATGAGGCCTTGCCTTTGTCTCTTCTTAAGGGTTTCTCTACGTTGTACTGTTTCTGGTGCTGGTGAAAGTTTTCACTGAAGCAGAATTGTCTCCCACATGCCCCACATGTATAAGGTTTCAGTCCATGGTGTGTTTCCTGGTGTTCACCTAGGTGCAAAATATCTTTCAAGACGGGGCCACATATGTCACAAGGGTGAGGCATCTGGGTTGATGAATCTGCCTTGGAAGTACTAACATGTGACACTCCTACAGAAATGCTCTGCTCAGAAGGTGCCTCTTCATCTGCCACTCCACGCCAACAATCTAAAGGCAAAAAATGCTGTTGAAGTGCATGGTGATTTTGGTGGGAGGGGGCAACCCTATCACAAATGTGTGTCTAGCACACAGAGGACTGAGTCCATAGGGTTGCTGGCAGGATGACAGATTTGGGATCAGGTTAAAGAAAGAAGTGCTGTGTAGTAGTGGGCTCTAAGAATCACAGAATGGGGAAGGGCTCACAAGGGATAAAGACATGAGGATGGAGTGAGTTGAGGGAGAAGAGGCAGGCAGGATCTCCAACTTACTCTGCAAATGACTTTTAGAAGGGCCCTGGCTACTGGCAATAGCTGAGTGCTATATAGAAATGTAAGTCCATGCCCAGGTAATTTCTGATTTGAAATGAGTAACTGGTATTGAAGAACTATTTAAGGAAATGTGTCTGTCTCGTGACATATTAGCATTGTCCAATATAGGAGAGCACTGTAGAGGGAGCAGGAGAGGGCACTGGTGAGTGGGGGTCAACTTGGCCTGGATGGTAGGTCAGAATAGAAATGATGAGTATGTAAGTTCAGAATGGGGACAAAAAGACAGAAATAAAGTATGGCTTACAGCCTGGGCACTAAACAGTATTGGGCACAGGACAGGTTTCTGCTGCTATTTGAACCCAGCCCTGAAGTCACACCCCTCCCCAAGCTCCCACTCACCAAAGCCCGTCCAAGCCCCTCCTGCTGTGGCTAGAGTCATGACCTCTCGGTCAGGCACTCAGACTTCTTTCCCCTGCTACAGTTCAGCAATCACAGAGGGTCTGTAAGATACAAGTCACAGGGGAAAGACAGGGCAAGTGAGTGGGAAAGCACTGACCCAGAGCAGCCCACCCATGAGACATTAAAAGAAAACTAAACATCATAAAATAAACATCAGAAATGTCTTGCAGGAACAGCCCAGTGGGCCCCATAAGCAAAGACCATGACTGCAATTCATGACACAGATAGATGAAGGAAATGTCAATGAAAGGAAAGGGGCAGAATCTGGAGCACAGAGCTATCATGAATGCAGATGGAGCAACCAACCCAGGAGAGGCCAAGCAGAGCAGCATCCTTTGGGCTTACCACAAGACTCCCGACCCTCAAACCCTTTCTGACAAAGATTTGGGGCAGCAGAAGTTTGGGAGCATAGGTAGTGGTGGAGGCAGTATACACAGCTGAGCCCTGGCACCCGAGGGACCAATGTGCGGGAATGAGGGCAAACAGCAGCGCCTGTCGCCCAGCCATGGGAAGAAAATGGCACTCTGGGGGAAAAAACGAAAAGCAGAGCACAGCCCAGAAAAGTGGGATACATGGGGCTTTACCCAGGAAGACCATTAAGCACAAAGCATAGAAAGCATTACGTTGTGATATGAGAACCTCTGACACTTATCAAGTAGCCTCTACTCCTCCCAGAAGAAATACATAAATACATCCTCAAAAGTCACATGACCCTGCATGAAATGGACAACTGAGCACAGGGGCAGCCGCTTTCCCCCAGACTCCTGGTCTAACACCACACATTCACTTTCCTCCCCAGCTCTGTAACTTAGACAAGGTACCAGGCCCTTGTGTGATTGGTGCCTGCTCTTTCCTCATTTCTTGTTAATCATTTTGTCCAGCCTAGAACAACAGGCAGGTGGACAGACAGACACTGTATGGTCTGGGCCTGGCATGCAGGGCCCAAATGTTCTGTTCTCCTGCCAGGTAGTTTCCTTGGAGTCCAGAGATTATGTCTCTCATAAACAAATTTGAGTTTTGCAGTCTCCCTAAAGCTCTCAGTACCAGAGCCCTCAGGCTGCGAATTCAGATTCCATCCTTATGTACATGTCACTCTTTAGACTACACCTCCCTCGTATCTAAGGACACCAACAACGCAGGTATCTCCCACATGCAAACCTGCACACAGCACCCAGAGAATGCTTAGTTAATGCATCCAGGATCACACTCTGCCCCAGTCAAGGGTCCCTATTGCCATGAGTATCTCAGCTTTTAAATCCTCCCCTCCTGGCCCCATTCCTTGATTCAACTTCAGCAATCCAGAACCACGGTGTAACTATGTACAAAGATCTGTGTCTCAGTGTCCTCATCTGTGAAGCAGGGATAATAGTAGTACCCACCTCACAGGCCTGCTGTTTGTATTAGTCATGTTAGTACATGTCAAGTAACTTGGAATTATCTTTTACTGTCCATGAACTTAATATTATCGCAAGTATTTTTGGTGCAAACGAAGTGAAAGGTTTTTGAAATTCTGGGTTTGTGTTTAACCTTTTAAGAAGATGTGATATTTAAGACTTTTCATTGTGACCAAATACTTACAGGCAAGCACTTCAATCAACTTATTAAACATTAGTATAATCTATATACCAAAATATTATCATATCTATATATTTTTATTTTTAATGACCTGCTTATGTATACTTGCCAGGCGTACACTAGTCCTTTCAGCAAACCAGCCTACCTGGTACATATACTCTGAAGGTGAGCCTGCTGGTGGCCCTCATTAGAAATGTTCATTATCTCTCCTCACCTGAGGAATTGGGGAACTGATGTACCAGCGCCCTGGATTGGGCTGGGGCTGCTCTACTGGCCTGGTTGACTTTCCCACTGCTCCACAGGCAGTGCCTATGGGGGCATGCTGAGTCCACAGGGTGGCAAAACTATAGCACTTCACACCTTGCTCTCCATTTCAGGCCAGGCTCCTAACATCCTACAGCCCTCTCCTCTTGCTGACACCAGTCAGAACCCTTCACATGCCAGGACCCTTCCTTTCTGGAGGTAATCTCGGGGATGTCCACTCCTTCTTCCTTGACCCCCAATTTCTCACCTCAGGGACCACATGAAAATAATATCCTTAATATTCTTCCCCTAAATCTGATCTCCAGGCTTTGACCTGAGGCCTCATCCCTCAGAGGTCTCCAGCACAGCTCATTCCACAGAACTCCAGACCTGCATGTCCAGAGGCCTGTGAGACATCTTAGATTTACCATGTCCAAAATCCAACTCCTCATTCCCCTGAAAGGTGCTCCCTGTACCAACCTACCCATTTCCACCCCTTTAGATGTTCACAGAAAAAAAAAAAGAAAACTTGGATAGCCATTCGCTCTCTACTTTCACTGTCATATCTGATGCAATAAGAAATCCTGTTGTTTTATCTTTAAAATCTCTGCAGAATTTAGTGACTTCTCTACCCCTAACCCTCCTGCTACTGCTCTGGGACAGCCACCACCACAAAAGCCCAGAAGTTTGTGACTTGCTCACCAGTCTCCCTGCCTCCATCCTCATCACCACCACACCACCCTAGTGTGTTTTCCCTGAGCGAATGTTGGGATACTTTTAAAATTCTTAATCAGATTGATGTGGATCAAGGATGCCCCAGGGAGAGAAGCCAAAGGCATTCTGGCCTACATGCCTATCTGTATCATCCTCTGGGAGGTATAGGACGTCCTAACCTAATTCGTATCCAAAGTTATATGACCACCTGATAACCAGAACCCCCCCCTGCACTTCTATCATTTTAACAACTTTTTTACATGAACTTTCCTTTGTCTTGTAAAGAAATAACTCACATACCTACATCTTATAAATTTAGCCCTACCCTCAACCCACTGCAGCTCTTCACTGCCCATGGGTCCTGTCCCCATGCTATTCTCTGAATAAAAGAGCACTACTGCCAGACCTTAAGAGTCCAAGAAATCTTTCTTTTGACTCCTCGGCTCACTGAGCCCACATCATTTCTTCTGGTGGCCTTTATGGGGATCTTGCTTCACTGGCTTGTGAGCTTAAGTTCTGGTAAGTGCACTTTTCTTCCTTGTGCCTTCCTCTTTTCCAAGGATGGATCTAAATTCACTTATTCATCTGGAACCTTCTCGGACAGCTGTATGAATCCACGTTTGCTGCCCACGGCTACTCTATGGGGCAAACCATAGCATTCAGCTCAAAGAGAATCAGTACCTTAAGTCTGAGGGTGATGAAGAATGCATTAATCCATTCCTTCCCAATTCTATCTCTAATATATAAATTCTACATGAGTGCAGGTTGACCACTTAAGTCATTAGGATGGTTGCCAATCTCCAAGATTCCTGTGGCAGGTTTCTTTTAAGGCTGGACTGGAATCCCTCCCTATGGCTCCTGACCACACTCGGAACCATGGGAAAGTCCCAATCCAGCCTCCGGTTCAAAGAAAGTACCAAACTATAACCTTCAGTTGAGTATGGGAACCCCTTCTAGGGAGAACGGCTCCAGGATGCAATTGCATAGAATGTCCCCCAGACAGGCAGAAAATTCTTCACTGTTTTCCTCTATTCTTTTATCTCTGGGACCATTCACGAGGCACCTCTTACTGCCAGGCATAATAGGGAAGATATACAAGGGATGCAATGCAGGGGGACGCCCCCCTCACCCCTTGCTATACCTCAAAGGCAGAACACAGATAGGATGCTGCCCTAGGTTCAGGGGGGAATTTCAAGGTAATGGATCCTTTTCTTTAATCTCTCTTCTCTTGTCTTTTTGCTTCCTAGGACCATGGGAGTTTCTAATTCCATTCCTAAGGACTCAGCTTTGGGTTGCCTTTTAAATAACCAGAGAAAATTTGAACCACAAGATCTAATGAAAAAGAGACCTATCTTTTACTGTAATACTGTTTGGCCTCAATCTACTCTGAATGAGGAAAAATGGCCCATGAATGGCATCCTAAATTTTTTTTAAAGATTTTTTTACAATTTTTTTCCTTTTTCTCCCCAAACCCTCCCAGTACATAGTTGTATATTCTTCGTTGTGGGTCCTTCTAGTTGTGGCATGTGGGATGCCACCTCAACGTGACCTGATGAACAGTGCCATGTCCACGACCAGGATTCGAACCAATGAAACACTGGGCCGCCTGCAGTGGAGCACACGAACTTAACCACTCGGCCATGGGGCCAGCCCAGGCATCCTAAATTTTAATACTACTTTTCAATTAGAATTATTTTGCCGCTGCCTGGGAAAATGGTCTGAAATTCCTTCTAGTCAAGCATTTGTGGCCCTAGATCAAGATCCTGAACTCAGAGCGGTTTGTCACACATGTCTAGCTTCCCCTACTAAAGTAGAAAAAGCTACACCTGAGGGGCTGGCCTGGTGGCACAGTGGTTAAGTGAGCATGTTCTGCTTTTGCGGCCTGGGGTTCACAGGTTCAGATCCCAGGTGTGGACATGGCACCACTTGGCAAGCCATGCTGTGGCAGGCGTCCCGTGTACAAAGTAGAGGAAGATGGGTATGGATGTTAGCTCAGGGCCAGTCTTCCTCAGCAAAAAGAGCAAAAAGAGGAAGATTGGAAGCAGTTAGCTCAGGGCTAATCTTCCTCAAAAAAAAAAAAAGAAAAGAAAAGAAAAAAGAAAAACCTACGCCTGATATATTAGATGGCGACTGCCTTGTTAGACCTCTTCCTAAGACCCCTGCAGCTCCTATCAAATTAACCTCCCCTGAGGACTCAAAGACCAGAATACTCCCTCCCTATGAGGAGGAACCTAAAATTGAGTCCTCAACCCTCACGAGTCCTGCAGGTCATACGAGGAGTGGGACCTCTTAGAATCCCAGACATTTCCTTCTCCACGAGGTAGCAAATGGGAGAAACGAGGACCATTTGAGTCCATGTGCCATTTTCACATCTGATACGGCTCAACTAAAGACACAACTGGGTAGATATTCAGAAAACCCTTCCCAACGTATTGATGGCTTTCAACAGCTCATCATGATGTTTGAATTGACCTGGTACGATATTTATATTATTCTTACTCATTGCTGCACTACAGATGAAAAAATTGTATTTGGGCAGGAGCACATGAATTTGCAGATGATTTACATACTAGAAACAGACATAAATATCCAGGAGGAGGCACTGCAGTACCAAATACAGACCCCAAATGGGACTATAGGAATGAAGAAGATTGAAGACAAGGGAATCTTGATTACTTGTTTAATAGAGGGAATGAAGAAGGGATTTACAAAGCCAGTCAATTTTGGCAAACTCTGGGAAATAACTCAGGGAACAGATGAAAACCCAGCCCTTTTTCAAGGAAGATTAGCTGAAGCTATTTGAAATACACTAATCTAGATTCTACTTCTCCAGAAGGGATGACTATTCTAAACATGCACTTCATTAGTCAACCTGCCCCAGACACACGCTGAAAATTGACTAAATTGGCCTTGGGTCCTCAAACACCTGTACAGAGACTTTTGGAGGTTGCTACCCAGGTGTTTAATGATCGGGACTTGACTCTTAAATAGGATAAGGACAAAAGGGCAAAATTACTGGGTAAGCTACAAGCTCACATTTTAGCAGCCGCCATTGTGGATATGCCACAGAAAAGGGCTAACCAGGGATCCAAGTCTCAAATTACCAATGCCAAAGGCCCAGGTAAGTCCCCTTGTTACTGTTGCCTTCAATCTGGACACTGGAGCAAACAGTGCCCAAGAAAGGACCTTCCTCCTGGGCCTTGTCCTCCCTGCAAGCGAGAGGGACGTTGGAAGCGTGATTGCCCTTGTCTCCAGAGCTAGGAGGGGACAAGAACACACTTTCCTGCCCGGAGATGCGATCCTGAGGACTCCGCCTGAACGGGTCCAGAGGGCAGTACGGCTCCCATCACCATAGAACACATTCAGCCCTGGGTTCCTCTGGATGTAGAAGGTAAG